CCTCTGCGTAAGCGGGTCCATTGTGAGTAGGCTCGTATTTGATATAATTGAACTGTTTTGTAGGTTTCGCTGGCTATGTGCTGTGTACACGTGTTTTCTGGTTGGTGCCGCAGCAACTGTTGTCCTTACTGATGTTGGGAAATACTCGATTGGAAGACTGCGGCCACATTTCCTTGCAGTTTGTAAACCTGATTTCTCCAAACTCAACTGCACAACGGGATTTCAAAAGAACTTTATAACAGATTATGAATGCACTGGAGATGAAGATCTTATAAAGGAAGCAAGACTTTCCTTTCCATCAGGACATTCGTCTTTTGCAGGTATGATATATACCAGGGAGATTAGAGCTTGCTTTCAGGGAGAGACTATACAGTAGTCGTCCAGATTCTGTTTTCAACAATAAAATGCACTGATTGTGTACAGTACTGTAAGTAACTTCGTTACAAGTAACGGCATTACAAGCACTGTAATCGGTACTTTTTAACTGTAATTTACAGTTCATAGAAGAAGATATCAAATTAATACCAAGCGAAAATCGAATGTGGATAAGTTCAAAACTTCAAAATTACAAATATATGGTGTCACTAGTTTCCGGACAGTAAAATTTGCTGTGCTATATGTTGATTTTAAAGACTGTTAGAAGGTTGAAGCTTTTACAGATGGCAAGTACTATTGTCTTAAGTTATGATGTAACTGTCACTGTAGTGTAGCTACATGTAAGTGTAATTACATTTTGACTTTAGTTACTTGTCTGACCAGTGTTTACTGTACTGTACTGTTTTCGTTATTTCACGTTAATTTTAAAATATTAAATATTAATAGTACTTGCTGTTTTATTTATGCTATCAACTTTTATCATGTTAATGCATGTCGTCGCTGCTCGCTAGTCGATAAACTAATTCACTGTACAATAACTCCCCTGCCTATTTGCCGGCTTGCAGTTGGGTTATTCTACAAAACTTGCAAAATTATTTGAAAACATAAATCTGCCATTGCTTCTATACTGAAAATTGTTTAAAAAGTTAAGAAGCTTCGAAAACTAAATCTGAAATATACTGCAGACGACTGACGACAAAAACCGCGCTTTGTGCTTAGCTGTTTATAACAACGAAGGAAAAATTTGAAAGTCTCTATTACGAGGGTGAAAACTCACTCAGTATAACTTCGTCGTGACACAAGGAAAAAGCGGTGAAATTATCAACATTATATAACCTCAGCCGTTTTCCCCTATTTACTCCCGACCTATTATTCTGTATATTCGTGCATACTGTACGTTGATGTACTCTACCGGTAAAAGCCAAACAAAGTCGTTAATGAGTAATGAATGTACTCCATAATATGGACAACATTATCCATTTGACTGAGATCCCACCTAGCGCAAGGTGAGATGTCATTTAGCCAAGCTGGCTCGTTTCTCGTATGAGGCGCCTGTAAATGAGTGCATATTTACAATATACAAAACATGATAGGAACATATCACAAGGGTAATCTCTACATGACACAACAAGAAAACAAAAGAAAACTCATCGTTTGTTTCAGAATCGTTTTTTAAAGGAGTTTGCAGAATTTTTTTTTCCTCAAAAGGAAGATTATTCCAAAGTACGGCACCATTGTAGCCGAAGCACCGTTAGCCAAATTCGTTCTTGGGCTAAATCAGTTTCTCAAAGGTTATATGTTAATATGTGTGACCTGTTTCATTGTTTAGTTAGACTGCGAGCAGTCCCTCGTTATGAGAAAAGGAGGGACTGCAGACAACACATCAAGAAACGAAATACGCGTTGCCCACACAACGCAAATTTACGATTGGTTGATTGGCAGATCCCTTTTGTTGATATGGTTTATTGACAGATCTTAATTGTATTGTTTTTCAAATGTGAAAGTCAACCGTCAAATTATGTCATATTAATTAAATCTCGTAGCATTTTCATTCATACTGTCTGAAAGCGTTTAGTAGGCCTATGTTATTTCGAGCGAATACAATTTAATGTAAAACTATGTATTTTTACTTGTATTATATAGTAATACTGTGTATTTTTGCTTGTAAAACGTAATCGTCGTCGTTTCACTGCATGTAAACTTGAATTTTCACTTTTAAACCAATACGATACGCGTTGTAAATAGTTACTTGTTTACAACGCCAGAATAATTATGTTGGAGCTAAGGGGTGGTGCGAAAAGTGGGCGTATTTCGTTTCTTGATGTGCTGTCTGCAGTCCTTCCTTTCCTCCTAAAGAGGGACTGCTCGCAGTCTATGGCTTAGTCGAAAAGATTATTTTAGATCGTGTGCGGTGTGGCCATTAAGAATTTTATACATAAAGATATCTATTTTCTTTTTCAGCGTATTGTATGATGTTCTTGGTGCTGTACGTAGATCTACGAATGGTACAATTTGTCTCTCTGAAACTATTGAAACCATTTGTGGAGTTTGCACTAATTCTTCTAGGCGTGCTCTGTGGCTTGTCACGTGTCTCAGATTACAAGCATCACTGGAGCGACGTGTTCGCAGGTCTTGTCTTAGGAACATTTTTTGCGTTTTTCTTTGTATTGAGAGTTTTAGAACTGCATCGCGTCAGCACGACCGTAAGTGAATGCCAAACTAACGACATACATATTCAAGAATCGGACGATCCTGAAAGAGGCGGGACCCCCGATGTTGAAAGGGACGGGACCTCGTGATACTGATCCAATAACATATGAGAATATCTGCCTCGTACCCAGGCGCTGAGCGGCCTATACAGCTTGTGTGGTCTTTGCGTGGAGCCCAATGAGATCGATATATATCGGGGCGAGAACTCGAGTCCAAAAAGTGAAACCAAATACGGCGGAAGTTGAAGAGCAATGGCACGTCAACCAAGTCCTTTTTTGTTGTTTTTGTCTGCGCGGTTGGACACGAAGCTGCCAGGAGTGTGCCTGGGTACGAGGCAGTGAGAATACAGGGTGTCCCAAAAAACCCGAAAACTATTGAAATAAATGTATTGTTAGAATTTGAATGCCTCGGCACTCTGCTGAACCCACACGTGCATCAATGCTTGACGTAAGTAAATTTTATGCATAAAGAAA